ATCAGTTGGCTGCCTCCTGCACAACCCAGAATAGGGCTGGGAATCAAACCACAACCAAGGTACATGTCCTTGGCTGAACCGAACCTGGGACTCTTTGGTCTGCAGGCTGATGCTCCAATCACTGAGCCAAACTACCAGGGCTCAAAACCCAGTCTTAACTACAAAACTACAATAACTGCTTTCCTTCTTCCCCATTTAGCATAGCTTCAGCATTTTCCCGAACATTAACAGTAATAATTTATTGGCAACTTTGACCTCTTATTGCATACATACACCATGATTAGTTACATGAGTAGGATCATGACATAATTTCATGATGTTTTGAGGAGTAATCTGACAGTGAGGCTTGTATGTTGTATTTTTTTTTAATCCTCACCCAAGGATATTCCTCCATCTATCTGCAGACAGAATGGGAGGGCGGAAGGGAGAGAGGGAGGAAGAGACAGAGAGCAAGAGAAACAGTGATATGAGAGAGACACATTGACTGGTTTCCTCCGGCAGGACCCTGACCAGGGCCCGGGACTGAACTGCAACCGAGGTATGTGCCCTTGACCAGACTCAAACCCAAGACTCTGGTGCTTGGGCTGAGGCTCTAACTGCTGAACCAAACCGGCCAGGACGAGACTTGTATGATTTAATGGGAATGGAAATAATAAAAGATGTGAACAGAATGGGAGCTCTAACTTGGACAATATATCAATTGCTGTATAAATGTAAAAGGTAGTTTGGTTACCATTTAGATTTAAGGTTTTAATGGCCTTAGGATATAGTTTCTCTCAGGCCCTTTCCATCCATCCATCCATACACTCATCCATCCATTCATTAAGTCACTCATTCATTCAACAAACATCCACTGAGCACCTACTGTGCAGTAGTGATCTAGTGGTAAAAAAAGAAACACAGGTCCTGCCTTCACTGAGCTTAGGTTCTACTGGTGAGACAGAAAGTTAATGAGCCCACAAATAATGAACTGAACTATCATTGTAATGTGCTACCAAAGTACAGGTGACTATGAAAACACATAATAATGGGTCTTAGTTGCTTTTTTTGTTGTTAATTCTCACTTAAGGATATTTTTCCATTGATTTTTAGAGGGAGGGAGGGAGGGAGGAAGGAAGAGACATCCGGGGCTGGGGATGGAGCCTGAAACCCAGGTAGGTGCCCTTGACCGGAATTGAACCCTCAACCCTTTGGTTCACTTCGCCAAACCGGCCAGGGCAGTCTTAGTTGCTTCTGTTCTGCTTTTTGTTTTTGTAGAATGGAAGCACTCAGGTGTTTAGCCATGAGATGATAAAAAAGAGGATCTTAATACTTATATACCTTTCATTAACTTATTTGGCCTCTGCAAAAACCTAGTAAAAGTGATATTATAGCTCCTAGACTCGGTGTTTTATAATAACTCTGTAAAATATTTGCTGAGCACCTACTATGCACTGGACTTTGTTCTGTGAGGATATACAGCAATGAGTAAGACAGATCAGGTTCTTCCCATGATGGAATTTGTGCATCTCACCTTCATTCCCACCTCTACTTCTGAGACAATCAATTAATTCCCCCGATGGGGATTCATCCTACTTATCCTCATGCAATAATTAATAACTTCCAAAGGTTACACATTGGTAATTGTCACAGCTAAAGACTTAATATGGTATGTATAAAATACTTTAAACAGTGCCCAGCAGACAGAAGCTCAGAAAACTGTTGGTAAGTTTACTATCGTTAGAATTGCTGTTATTATTACAATGTTTACTCTCATATCCTTTCTGGTACAGTGGATTTTATTTTCTTATAAGTTCCATAAACTCTTATTAAAAGTCTGTCATGGGATTTACATATCCTTTATGATATCAAAGAAGAAATATATTGTGTAATTTTACCCTCCACACCTAGGATAAGCATGTGACCTTGGATAAGCATCATCCTCTGTAAGCTTCAGTTTCTTCTAATTTTCATGAAAAATTAGAGTAATATCTAATTTAAAACAATGCATCTTCTTCCATTTCAAGATGGTCTGCTGGACATCCAGAAAAAAAAATGAGTGGGGAAAAGCGAATTGGCAACTCTTATTAAATTAGATATTATTTTAAAAAGCACAGTATCTACCACCTAGAATTTGAACAAGTAAGAGAAATGAGGCCTATTCTTAGAGCAGAGATTCAATTAGGTATTGGTTAATGCTTTGGGGAGAAGTTTCATAACTTATAATCCATATATATATTAAATAGTTATATATATGATATATTTTTTTATGTTTTCTTCTTTATTGATTTGAGAGAGAGAGAGAGAAGAATCAATGAGAGAGAACATAATTGGCTGCCTCCTGCATGCCCCCCACTGGGGATTTGGCTCACAACTTGGGCATGTGCCCTGACGGGGAATCGAACCCGTGACCTCTTGGTGCACAGGTCGATGCTCAACTACTGAGCCATACTGGCCTGGCACTATGAAGTATTTACATATAAATTATACATATTTATATGTATGAAGTATTTATATAGAAATAACATCTAAGTATAACATCTAAGCATATTCAGAAGGATAATCACACTAGCATGAGTTATTTAACTGCCTTTCAAAACATGCATAACATTATTCTAAGATTGGCTCTTGGTTTTCTCCTCATGATATTGTTGGTGGTTTTGGAACCCAATCCACAGAAACATCTGATTCTAGGACTGGAGACTTGGAAAGTGGAAACCCTGGCCAAGAGGCAGAGGCGAGTTCTCCGAGTCAGTTCTAGTTTACTGTCCACTCTGGGCACCCAAGGCAGGGCCCTCCTCTAGGTGACCTGCACGAAGCGCAGGGACAGGAGAAGTCACCTCTTCTGGATTCAAAGGAGGGTTTTGTTCACAGCTGGGTTGCTCGGCACCCTTCATTAAAATTGCACCGGCGGAGGTTCTAGTTGGCAAGGGTTCGGTGCCCTCTTCGTTCCCCAGGCCGCGGGCTCTCCCCCTTTGCCAAGATGGCGGCCCTGGCCGCGTCTGGAGGAGGCCCGCGTGGATCGTCCAGGGGCAGGAAGCCTGCTAAAAGCCTCGCTCGGTCCTTTCAGATCCGACCACACGCGGGGCAGCGACCCCCTCAGGGCCCAGGAATGGTGACTTCGGATGCCCAAATCCGGAGCCTTTGCCAAGATGGTGGCCGCGCGGCCGGGCGGCGTCAGCGTCCTTTACCAAGATGGCGGCGGCCGGCTTCCGGCACGCGTTTCCCCAATCCTCTTGAAGATGTCAGAGCAGAGGCGGCCGCCGTCGGAGTCAGAGCGCGGCCTGAGAAGAGAGTGGCTGCGGCCGGGCTCCGGGCACCAACTAGGTGGAGCTGCGGCAGCCTCCGCCCCCGTCAGGAGCTGGCAAGCGCTGTCACCTGTGGGGGCGCAAAAGTTACCTCCCGAAACCCTAAAGCAACACAGCACCACCTTTCCCCGAGTCACAAAAATCATAGTATGTGCTGCACAAGGTAGGAGGCCCGGCCACGGCGTCGTCCAAGCCCCCCAGCCACGGCGAGTTGGGGCAGGGGGCTGGGGCGGGGACCGGCTGCGCGGACGCCCCCGCCCAGCCCCTCTCCTAGGGGATTGGCCATGTGTTTCCCTCGGACTGAAGGGGAGGCGCGTAACGGGAACAGCTGGAGGGAGTTTAATGCTGATATTTTAAAGCTGCGTGTGTTTTGTTTTATTTGGAGGGGCTGGGGTCCCATCAACACGAAAGGGTGGGCGACGCAAGGAGTCCAGTGTAGCAAGTCAAGATTCGAGGAGGGGCCTCCACGGGCCGCTGGGAAGCGGGTCCTGGAGGGGGTGGAAGGAGAGGTCAGGAGTTTGGGGGTGAGCGCATACTTTGCAAGCAACTTACTGTTTCGCCTGCAATTTGCGTTTAGGCCTGCTACCCCCTGCTTTCCTCAAAAATAATGAAAAAAAAAAGTGCAAAGAAATCCTCCTTGCCGGAGGTTTTGCTTTTGGCGTGCAACTTCCTTCAAGTGTGAGCGCGCTGGGAGGGAGGGCGGGGTGGGGGTTGAACTTGGCAGGCTGCGCCTCCTTCTGCCGCCGCCGCCGCCGCCGCCGCCTCGGAGACTCAGGGAAGAGGGTGGGGGACGGCCGGGGCGCGGGGGAGGGTGGGTTCTGCTTTGCAACTTCTCTCCGGGTGCGAGAGCGCGGCGGCAGCGGTTGCAGACCCGGCCGCCCAAACGATGCGGGGGTGGGGGACCTGCCGGCACGCGACTGCCCCCGGCCCAGAGTACGTATGCGCCGACCCCCTCCTCGGCTCTGCCCTCCCTGAAGCCTCCCCAGAGGGCGTGTCAGGCCGGCCGGCCCTGAGCGCGGCCAAGACGCTGCGGCACCGTTTCCGTGCAACCCTGTAGCCCCGTGCTAAGTGACACACTTCGTGCAACTCGGCCCGGGGACGGGGGCGCGGACCACCCCCGCGCCTCTGCTGCGGGCCGCGCCCCGTGCCCCGTCTCCCCTAGCCATCCCGCTGTCACCCACAGGGCCGCTCGCGGCGGTTGCCGCGGAGGGACCAGGAGAGCTCCCGAATGGGTCGAGAGTCGCGAGCTGGGCGGGGGCGGGAAGGAGGCAGTAGAGAAACTAGAGAAACTCAGCTTCCCTCCTAAGCGTGCCCCGGAGAGACTAGATCTGCCCCTGCTGCCGCCGCCTCTCCTTTTCCTAGGGGTTGGGTGGGCGAGGACTACCCCCGCGTGCCCCAGGGGCGGTGGCAGTGGCGGTGGCGGTGGCGGGCTGCCTGGGCGGGGTCCGTGCCGGGTCGCGGGCGTGCAGGCGCCGTCGGGGCCAGGGTGGCGGGGCCCGCGCGGAGGGCGTGGGGGCAGGGGATGCGGCCGCCCGTGCAGTTGCCGAGCGTCGCCAACAGGTTGCACCGTTCCCCGCGGCCGCCGCCGCGCGGCCCCTCGGGCAGGGAGCGGCCGGGGGTGGAGTGGGAGCGCGTGTGTGTGCGAGAGTGTGCGCCGTGGCACCGCCTCCGCCCGCCCCCCGCTCGGTCCCGCTCGCTCGCCGCGGCAGGGCGGCCCTTTCGCGTGTCCGCACTCCCTCCCCTCTCCTCCTCCTCCATTTTGCGATCTCGAGTCTGTGACGGGAGCCCGAGTCGCCGCCCGTCGGGGACAGACTTTAGTGGGTGGAAGGAGACGACACAGCCGGAGCGGCCGGAGCGGCGAGGCACCGGGACTGAGGACACGCGCCGGAGAGACCCAGCCCGAAGAGACGGGTGTGGGGCGGGGGGCTGGCTTGTCAGCCGGGAAATGCGAGAGTTTCTTGGATAGGGGCTCCCCCCACCTATGGAGAAGGGGGCGGCTGTTTACTTCCTTTTTTTAGAAAAAAATATCTCCCTCTTGCTTTCACACGTTAAGTTGTTTATCTCGGCTGCGGTGGAAGCGGCGGACGGTGGCGGGTGAGCGGCACCTCAAGCGGAGGTAAGAGGCACTCGCTCTCCTGAGGTGCCGTTCGGGGGCCACTGCGGGAGCCTGCAAACTTTTATTAGCCTCGGGGAGTGGGGGTGGGGGCTGGCGAGGGCCGGGTGACGGTGACGAAAGGGCAGTGCGCGGGTGACAGCGCTGGGCTCTTCCTCTCCCTGGGCCGCCGTCCCCCATTCGGGCCGAGGGGGAGGAACCTGAGCTCTGCTTCTGCGAGTGGAGCCTCGTTGAGCTGCCCCCGGGGTTCCAGCCTCTAGGTCTGTGGAGCGGAATCCTGGCTTGTTTTGTTTTTATTTTTCCTTTCGAGTCCCCTTCCTTTTCCTTCCCAGGGGGGCCGCCCAGACACCCATTTTTATGGTGAATGCTGGGCTGCGTGTGAATTCTACTCGCCCGAGTGTTTCCACTCCACCCTGGTGCGCCCGAGCGGACAGGGTTTCTGTCGGGGCTCCTGCGCGTCTCACTTGTGGCGGGCTTGCGGGGTGTGAGTGCGTGAGCGCACACACAGGGGGCTGACAGCCTGCAACTTGGAGACTTCGGCCAGGGCTGGTGTTATCGGTAGGAGTGGGCGTGTCAGGAGAGAACTCAACAGGTCTGGACACATTTCTCTTTTAACCTCGCACTCCCCCCACCCGCCAAGCCGAGGGTTGGTTCTTAGGTACTTGGCAGCATTTCGCTCCTGACTTTTATAAGTGATCCTTTCCAGAAAGGACCCTCCTTAGCTGTCATCGTTTTCTGGTGAGATTTTTGACCAGCGCGTTTGACGTTTGGGTTGCAGGCTTGATAATGGCAGCCTTGTAATGCCACTTAAAACCCTGTGGCTTGGTTCGTTAAGGCCAATTAAGGTGCCAGAGTTATTTGCAATGTAAACTGGGGGATAACGTCGTTGGAGGGAGGGATCTTTTCGTTTTATGAGGCATTGTTTTGGTTTCGAGTTTGAAGGCAGCTGTCAAAGCGGCGTGGAAATTCATTAGGTTCCTCTTGATACTTTGTTTAGAGATCGTTATCGATTAAACAGGGGCGGGGAGATAAGTAGTTTGCCGTCAAGATTTATAAGGGACAGATCCCACTCTTCTGTCTGCCTTCACCACGCGGCATTGTCAGGGAGCCGGTGAAGTTTGCTTCCTAAAGACTCCGTGCAGAAAGTTTTCTTTCATTGGGTGAGATTTCTCTATAATGTCGCAAACATGCTTATCAGTGCCTGTTTTTTTTATATAAAAAATCCTGATTATTAACAGTATATTAGTAACCTAACCGTCTTGAGAATTGGTTCAGAATTGGTTCAGAATTGGCATAGGTGGAAGGTTTAGAATGCAGAGAAAATTATTCTGAGCATTTTGTTGGAATTTATACCTGGATTTATATGAATGTGATTTTACAGTTCTGGGTTTTTCTCTTGTTCAGTACTTCGATATTTGGAAAGGAAACATCTTTAGTTAGAGATATATTATTTTATACTGAGGGTTTTAAGCAGTTTTTAAAGGAATGTGGCTTCATCTATATTTTATTGTGTTGTACGGATTGAGAGGCACTGCATTTGTTATATTTGAATAAGCTAAAGATGTAGTGAAAAGCTACTACGTATTCTATTCTGTTTTTTAAAATCTGAATTTTAGTTGGCCTTTATACAATGTATTTCATTTCGTATGTCCAGAATTTGAAGGTAGACTATTCAACAGGTACTAGTAAGAAGTACTAGTTAAAAATAAGAGCCTTTTCCTAGCCTATTGGAAGATAAGCAGATCATTGTTTATTTTTAAAATAAAATGTGGATGGTTCACCAGTAGGTTGTACTAAAAGGTTATTGTGATTAGCTAGTAAGAAGGGAATTTGGGAATAATCAGACAGAGAATTCTAGCATAGTATTTATCAAATTGTATGCATATTGATTCTCAGAAAAGCAAATAGCTTTGATTGAAAGGAGGCAGGAATTTTATGATCATAGTTTTTTTTTTTTAATTAAATATTTTGACATCAATGTGAACCCTTAGAATAATCAGATGTAATGAATTATAATGTCTATAATTAACGAAGTTACAGTTCTATGTCAGGATGAATAGCCACGCTAGTTTGATAAAATTTTGTTCTCAGCCATGCAAATGGATTGCGTTGTATTTTTAAGTGTGGCACGCTGAATGGGACCAGGGGACATGGCTTTTTTATTCTGGAAGACAGAAATGACTCTTCTGATAACAAGGAATTAGATTCGGAATTAACTAAAAGGTTCATTTAACAGGCTGCTACTAATCGGATCACAGAGATAATGTGACTTCATAGCTTATTATGTTTCCCCCCCCCCCCTTTTGTTTTTCTGTAGCTGATACTCATTGATGGACTCCAAGGAATCTTTAAGCTCCTCTAGTAGAGAAGAAATCCCCCAAAATGTGCTTGTTGGGGAGAGGGAAAATGTGATTGACTTCTATAAAACCCTAAGGGGAGGAGCTACTGTGAAGATTACTGCATCTTCGTCCTCACTGGCTGCTGCTGCTTCTCAATCAGACTCAAAGCAGCAACGACTTCTGGTTGATTTTCCAAAAGGCTCAGCAAGCAATGCGCAGCAGCCAGATCTGTCCCAAGCAGTTTCACTCTCAATGGGACTGTATATGGGAGAGACAGAAACAAAAGTGATGGGAAATGACCTGGCAGTCCCACAGCAGGGCCAAATCAGCCTTTCCTCTGGGGAAACAGACTTTCAGCTTCTGGAAGAAAGCATTGCAAACCTCAATAAGTCGACCAGTATTCCAGAGAACCCCAAGAGTTCAGAATCCGCTACTGTTTCTTCTGCCCCCACAGAAGAGTTTCTAAAAACACACCCTGATGTGTCTTCAGAAGAGCAGAGTTTGAAGATCCATACTGGCACCAACGGGGGCAATGTGAAGTTGTATACCACAGACCAAAGAACCTTTGACATTTTGCAGGATTTGGAGTTTTCTTCTGCGTCCCCAGGTAAAGAGATGAACGAGAGCCCTTGGAGATCAGACCTCTTGATTGATGAAAACTGTTTGCTTTCTCCTTTGGCAGGAGAGGATGATCCATTCCTTTTGGATGAGGACTGTAAGCCTCTCGTTTTACCGGACACTACGCCTAAAATTAAGGATAGTGGAGATCTGATCTTACCAAGCACCAGCAGTGTGACACTGCCCCAAGTGAAAACAGAAAAAGAAGATTTCATCGAACTCTGCACCCCTGGAGTAATTAAGCAGGAGAAACTGGGCCCAGTTTACTGTCAGGGTAGCTTTTCTGGGGCAAATATAATTGGTAATAAAATGTCTGCCATTTCTGTTCATGGTGTGAGTACCTCTGGGGGACAGATGTACCACTATGACATGAATACAGCATCCCTTTCTCAACAGCAGGATCAGAAACCTGTTTTTAATGTCATTCCACCAATCCCTGTTGGGTCAGAAAATTGGAATAGGTGCCAAGGATCTGGAGATGACAACTTGACTTCCTTGGGGACTCTGAATTTCCCTGGTCGATCGGTTTTCTCTAATGGCTATTCAAGGTAAGATTGTTTTATTGTTTTTTAAATTTATTATGTCTGAGACAGATTGATAGATTTAAATATTCATATATTTTTATGTGTTTTCCAGCAATTAATGTGCTTCTTCATGTGAGTAAGCTTAAGTAGTCTTTTAAAATAGGCATGGTAGACAGCGTAAGTGATTTTTCTGTATATAACCATTTCAAATTTTTGTCTGAATATTGGCATTCAGAATTCCATTGGCTAGTGGTTAAAAATTTTATTTAAAAATTTAAAATAATATTGCTCCTTAACAGGTATGTTAAGTAAAAATTATATAAATTCAAAGTGTGTGGTGTCTACAGGTATAATATGTTCCTTGTGCATGTTCATTTAAGCTGTTTTAGAATACCGCTTACCTTACAATGAAAAGTACCCTTCATACTTCACATAATCAAAAGTTGTGCTGCTGTATCTGCACACTTGTGAATTGTTAACTTGAGATTAAAGGGTTAAAAATTAGAAGTATTAACAATAAGTCAAAGCAGTGCAGTGAACAGTGTAGGGACTCTCATATGAGACCTAGGACTTGCCCACGGGATTCCTGACCTAAAGTAGCCAAGTCTTTTCTGCTGATCAATCAGTCTCTTTAAGAAGGTGGTAACATGGTGCAAAACAAAATTTTACTCTCAAATGTTCCCACAAGTTCTTAATGGCCAACATTGTTAAGCTTCAATTCTCAGCTATTGTTTGATGTGTTTCTTTGTCTTCATTTTTCTGTCATTTATAAGTATATTGACATTTCTGTTTGACATCAAAAGGATCTGTTAAAATGGAATTACTGGGGAAATGTTCTAAATTTAGATGTATATGTTGGGTTAAGTTTTCTACCCACACTCCCATCCCCAATTCAGGTAAATACCAGGTTGTATATAACATTTTTGGGTGTGAAGGAAAATATAAAAATGGGATTGTAGAGACAATCAGTGGGGTTCCTTTTTTAAAGTCGTAGTAGGCCTAGTGATTTATTTGTACATAAACGTTTCAAGTTTTTTTTCTGAAATGTTCATGGTAGTCATTGTTCCCATTAACTAATCATTGAAGATTTTATTTAAAACTCTCTTTAAAATACTTTTTCTGTTAAAGGGATGCCCTAACACTGAGGTGTCTCTTTTTTTTTTTCTGTCTTTAAATAGGAAGCTTTTCTTGTTGGGGAAATTTTTTAGACTTAGATTAAGGCTATATTCTGTTCCTTTAAAAGGCTTAGTTGTTTCTTATTTAAAAAATAACAACTTGGTTCTTGTGCATCTAAATGTAAATGACCTACTAATCTATTACTTAAATAATAATCATCTTCATTTAAAAGAACACTACTACAACTTTGTATTACTGTCATTCTGAATTGAAGGTTTAAAGTGTTTTTACTAATGAGATTTGAGATTTTTTACTGTCACATAAACTGTTCTGTTTAAATGTTAAAAGACATGCTGAGTTTTAAAATTTTCAATCTCAAAATTTTGCCAATGGAATTCATGGTTCAATGTGCTTGGTTGATTTGACTAAGCTATCTGTAGGAAGTTATTACATTGATTTATATAAAACATGTAATTGTACAAAGTAAAATAATATATCTTAGGAAACTCTTGGGGATTATTAATGCATTTTGGTCTGATAATTACTAAGGTATTATTATTGTTTTCCTTACTATAAAATGTCATGGAATAAGACTTATTTTCCATTTACAGTGAACTTTCATTAAGCCCCATTATATCTGGGATCTGGAACATAAGTGAGGTGAACATAGTTATCCAAAAATCATTATACTTTTATAGTAATTTATGATGTGTAAAGTACCTTCTTCATGTGTTTAATTTGAGCCTTATAGCAACCTTATGATGGTAGGCAAAGCAATGATGATGTGGCTCTTTCAAGATCCTTTAATACCCAATGCAATGATAATTTTTATGCCAATGTGTGATTTGAATTATAATCAGTAGTTATGATTTGCATTGTAACCTGTAGTTTGTGTCCTAATGAAAAGGTGTAATATCTTATACAGAATCATCTGGTAATGTTTGAAAATTTTACACCTTTTGGCATTAACATTGGGAATTATGATTACCCAGAACAAAGCTTCTTCCAAATAAATTGAAACAATGTTTCTTTTCTAACCATCATTGAATTACTCTATTGTTTCCAAACAATAACCCTGATATAAACTAAAATTGGTTGCTTTCTCCTCATACTAAATATTAGGTATGACCAGTGACCCTGAATGATTAACAGATAAATCTACATGTTGAGACCACAACTGTATTGAATACTGAGTTTCTGACTTTTGATATAAAAATATGAAATGCCACTAATAACTTCACTTGCATTCCTTTTAAGTTAAAAAAAAGTCATAATTTGACTTTTTAACATGACACCTAGGATTGCTTTTTCTCAGAATGCTTAAAAAATAATTCACACAGTTTTGAGGGGGAAAGTAGTTCCTTTTTATTTTTAAACTCATTTTTTTTAAAAAGAATATGTTTTTATTGATTTTAGCGAGAGAGGAAGGAAGAGGGAGAGGGGGGAGAAGGAGAGAGAGAAAGAAACAGATCTACTGCCTCTTGCAGGCCCCCTACTGGGGATGGAGCCCTGGGCTGGAACCCAACAGATGACCTCTTGGTGCATGGGACAAAGCTCAAACAACTGAACTTTACTGACCAGGGTGGAAGGTAGTTCCTTCTGATGTATCAACATAATGAAATGTCCAATTACCACATTAAATTATAAAATTATGAATGTCCCGATGGAGCATAGTAAAGTTTTTTTTGTAAGTTTTAAGTTCATTGATGGTAAAACAAGAGAAATCTTAATAATGTTCAAATAAATTCTTTAAGTAAAATGAACTAGCCATTCTAACTTACTATGCTTTTTAAATACTGAAATTCAGTAAATTTAGCATAAATTTGTAATACAGATGAAGGCACATTTCTGCATAATTTGGTTTTCAACATTGTTTCAATTCAGCATTATGATGAAACAAACTCCTGCAAAGGGGCAGAGAAATAAATAGTTTCAGGTGGAATTAGAGCTTTTATTGAGATTACCTTGAAACTTCAATGTTAAACAGTTGACCAGTTTCTGAAGCATACGATTATTAGAAAGAATGATACAAGATGAATTTGTAAACTCAGTGTTAGGGTTTAGGGCTCTCATGATTGACACCTAATGAAGCTATAAAAATTTGTCAATTTTAACCTCTCATTATTAATTGCAACTGTGTCTAATTTTATTGACAGTGAAATTGAAGACCTATAGAAACACAGGATGAGTGAAGCAAATTCTGTCCCTTTCTCATTTTTCTTATTAACATTGTGGTGAATGTTTTCTCAGTAGAGGAGGCATAAGGAAAATACTATGTTTTGATTTTATTTACTACCTTTTTAGTCGATACTTTCTTTACATCCTACCTCCCCCTCAAAACCCCCAACCTTCCAGTGGTCTGGCAATGAGTGTTTCTGTGTCTTTTTTAAAACTTAGTATTCTGATATTCACCCATATGAAATGATTGCTGAGATTTAAAGGAAATTTGCTTTTGCTTATTTATTTACTCATTTTCAGCTTTATGGTAAGAATCTTTTTTTAAACTTTGTTACTTTGTTATGACTATTATTAGTAAACAATTGAAAAAGAAAATGCACACTGTGTATTCAGGTGTTTCAATTTAGTGTGGAATGACTCTGATACAGAAATGTGTGACCAACATGTGGTCAGATTTTATTAAAATTACTTCTTGTGATGTTTCTTTAGCTATCCCGTGATATTTTTGTAATTGATAACATTTTTATTATAATGCTGTTTTGGTTTTGTCCATTGGTGTTGCAGATATTTTAATCTGACCACTTTTATCATTGAATGTCTATACATTTTATGAAAGACTTATTCTGAAATATACTTTGCATAAATGTAGGTTAAATGCAAATTGTATTAATAGTGGAATTTATATGTGGGCAGAGATTACTTTAGAGGCCGTTGAGATTTTAGAGATTGGATCAAAAGGGTTTATTTTAGTATGAATGCCTGATGTGAAAGAGCATTTGTATTAATTGGTTGGTTATATAAGTCATCCACTCTGGCCTGCATGTGATTGACACAGCCTAGTCATTAGAAAAATTTTAATTTACATTAGGCTTAAAAGAAGTCTGGGGCATATTTCTTAAAACACATTTTTTTCTTTCTTTAAAGATCACACCTAATTTTAAATAGCAGTGAGTTCTCACGTGTACTACTGTTTAAGTGAGCAAATTAAATAGGAAAAATAGGTTTGTGCTTTTACAACCTTCTGAAGACATCCTGATAATTGTGTAATGCAGTATTTACATGTATTTGCTTGCTTCCCTATTTCTGAGTCATGGAAAATATATATATTTGTGAATTGTGTTGCAAAATAATTTTCAAGAAATATTATGTTGAATGAAGCTATAACTGGAAAAAAAAACACACAAAAAAACAATTACTTATTGACCTTTACAGAAGGGTTTAAAAACCCAGACTCTCCTTATTTTTGTAGTTTCAAAGAGTCAACTGCTCTCGTTGTTTTCCCTGGCTTATTCTACTTGGGTTTTGTATTTTTAAAGTAAATAAAAATATTCCTGTGAAGTACTTCCATTTTTCTATTTTAAAGAAAAGATCCATTAAGTGTCCCTTTCCCTTTGAATTGTGCGTGATCATTTCTATGCCACACTAGATTAGAGTGTGGCTTTTAATGGTGATTTTTGTATTCATTTTACACATTAAGGTGTAGTTTAGAAAATGCGCAATTTTATCACAGTTCAAAATTTATCGTAGGCAGTGATTGCAACCACCAAACGTAACTTTGACAGATTGTCTTCTCTTTTCCTTGCTATCATCACAAATGTCTTTTAAATACACGATTTCCAATGAAGTTTGTGAATTAATGGGTGTTGTGGGAGGGGGTGGGAACGTGGAGGGGTGACAGAAGAGGAAGGAGCAATAGAAGTGTGGAATGGTAGAAGATAAGTTTAGAAATA